AGGTGTTGTCATGTTATGAGTGTCCAGCTTCCACCTGTGTCCTCTTGCCCTACTGTCTCTCACTTTAAAGAGGTTGTCCTTGTCCAATGTCATCCTTTGTTTCCTCCAGTCTTTCATTTTGCAACCTTGGTCTCCACACTGCCTCTTCCGTAAAGACCTCTTGAAGTGTTTTGTCGAGTTCCTCACATACTTCGTTCTTATTATCTGTGAGAATTTCCCTTTGTCTCCTCATTCTGTATATGTGGTTTCACATTTTTTCTCTGTCCTTATATGACTATAGAACAGGTCTGGCGGGTCATAGGCCTAGCTGCCTCTGTGATTGGCTGTACTCCAACCGTCTTACAATTTGAAGGATTATTACAATAGACACACCACGACCGGGAGCCGGTCGGCCGAGCGGACAGCACGCTGGACTTGTGATCCTGTGGTCCTGGGTTCGATCCTAGGCGCCGGCAAGAAACAATGGGCAGAGTTTCTTTCACCCTATGCCCCTGTTACCTAGCTGTAAATAGGTACCTGGGTGTTAGTCAGCTGTCACGGGCTGCTTCCTGGGGGTGGAGGCCTGGTCGAGGACCGGGCCGCGGGGACACTAAAGCCCCGAAATCATCACAAGATAACCTCAAGATAACCACTGTCTATTGAACCAAAGGTGTAATTTCTTCATGCACTTCCTCCTCCTTGAGTGGCGTGAAATGCTCCGTTTCATTGCCAGATTACCCAGCGAAGAACATTTCCTTTGCTGTCTTCCCTTCCATTTCTCTCTCTCCCATTGGCTTTCTCCGCAGAAAGTCCCTCGTCTTATTGCTGTCCCCCCGTCGGTAATCTCTCCTTCAACAGGTTTCCCTGTGGAACCAACTCCTTCAGCTCCACTTAAGCATGACAATGCTGTAGTTGTTGACTCCTGGAGGCATGCTTTCTCTCTCTCTCTTTTACAACATCTTCCTCATTATGGGAGGACACCATGTCTGGTGTTGCTGGCGGGTTCTCTCCTCTTTACTCTGGTTGGTTCTGTAATGTGTTGCTTCATGTATTTGTCTGGTATGTTTGGTGGTGGTGTGCAGCAGAGAAGCCATATACTCTAGGCTCAATATACCTCACCCTTTCCTCTTCCGTCCTGCTACTCCCCTCTCTCTCACACACACACACACACACACACACACGCACGCGCGCGCGCGAGCACACACACACACACACACACACACACACACACACACACACACACACACACACACACACACACACACACAGACGCACATTGAGTTGCTGCGAGAAATGTCTTATGGGATTTCAACACCAGCAAAACTAATATGATGGTAATAGCAAAGAGGAGCCAGGACACCAGAAGAACACCACAGAATGAAGTGAAACCACCTCCCTGTAACTCCTTGAGAAAAACACCTGGAGTGGACATAACACCCAACATGGGAGCACATGTAAATAGGTTAACATCAGCAGCATACTCCACACTAGTACCTCAAGTTAAAACATCATTCAAGAACCTTAATTTAGATGCATTTATATCACTACACCGCCCACGTCAGACCGGTTCTTGGATATGGGTTAAAAAAAAAACACCCTATCGCGTAGCTCCAAATCCAAAAAAAAAGGCACACACACAAGGAAACTCTAAAAAGATTCAGAAGTTTATAACATGGCCCAGAATTACAATTCATAGCATTTGAAGGAAGACTGAAAAAACTAGACCTGACGCCGCTAGAAAAAGATTAGAGGGGAAACATGGATACATAAAATACTTAAGGGGGGATTCCCAGAATGAAAAGAAGAGGAAATATACTCAATACTAATAGAACAAGAGGAAGTAGAAGCTCAAGTCTCAGATGAGTCATAGAGGTATTAGAAAGTTTTCTTTTAGCGAGAGTAGTGGCAACCTGGAATGAACTCAAGGAGTAGGGTGTAGGCGAAGAGTCACAATAACGTGGCTAAAGTATGTTGACCAGACCACACACTAGAAGGTGAAGGGACGACGACGTTTCGGTCCGTCCTAGACCATTCCCAAGTCATCTCACAATCGACTTGAGAATGGTCCAGGACGGACCGAAACGTCGTCGTCCCTTCACCTTCTAGTGTGTGGTCTGGTCAACAGTAGAGTGTAGACTCCAATCATTATTTTAGAAGCAGGTATGGTTGGGAAATAGGTCAGGAGTTAATGCATTACACAACCGTCGGCTAGAAAGGCGGGGTCCGAGAGCTAAGGCTCGATCCTGCAGGCAGAAATAGGTGAGCATAGACACATTCACATTGTCTCTGTTACCTAGCACATCTAACACTCCTGGTGGGCGCCTGACAGCTGGGTGGACAGCGCTTCGGATTCGTAGTCCTGAGGTTCCGGGTTCGATCCCCGGTGGAAGCGGAGACAAATTAGGCAAAATGTTTCTTTCACCCTGATATCCCTGTTACCTAGCAGTAAATAGGTACCTGGGAATTAGACAGCTGCTACGGGCTTCTTCCTGGGGGGGGGGGTAACAAAAAGGAGGCCTGGTCGAGGACCGGGCCGCGGGGACGCTAAGCCCCGAAATCCTCTCAAGATAACCTCTTGTAAACTCATCCCTCTGTTGGTTCTAAAACATCTAGTGATATATTTAAAATTGTTCAACAGGCTAACATTTTCACTTAGTTCAATTGTTCATGAAGTTAAATTTTTACAAGGTTCAGTTCATTTGTTCACTAGGTTTAATTTTTGACGAGGTTCACTTGTCAGTCAAGTTCAGTTATTCACTAGGTGTTTACCAGGTTATATTATTTGCTAATTTAAATTGTTCAAGGTTTAATTGTTCACCAGGTTCAGTTGTTCATCAGGTTCAGTTCTAGGAAATTTGCTTACCAGTTTCAATTAGTTTCAATTGTTCATAGTCAATCCAATTTACCAGGTTCAATTGTTCACCACGATCTATTGCCCACCAGGTTCAATTGTTCACCAGGTTCAATTGTTTACTATGCTCTGTTATTCATCGGATTCAGTTCGCCATGTTCTTTTGTTCACCAGGCTTAGTTGTTCACTATGTTTTTCTACCAGGTTAAAATGTTCACCATGTTCAATTCATCGGGCGTCAACAGTGATTAGATACACACAGAAATCACAATAAACTAGACTAGCTAATCACCTGGGTGACTAGAATCCTTCTAGACTGAGTGACTAGAGCGCATCTGGGATACATCCAGCACACAGGTTCGAATCCTCGTCATTGAACCTTGTGGATTTGGTCAGTGATTCTATTGTTAGCTATGCGGCCCCCGGAAGACATTCCACCCAAATCCCTGTTATCGAAGCGGTGAGTTACTGACCGTTTTCTTTGCCTGGAAAAACGTTTTTAAAACTATAAACGTTTCGTTGGTGTTTTCCCGTTTGTTTATAAGGTTATTATAAGCGAGAGTCTGATATGTTTATCGAGAATCGGAAATTTTTTGGAGGGGGGTACTTTTAATGTCCATAACATTGTTTTTGTGTAGCGGTCTAGTGAATTAGGAGGTTTAACAGCACAGAGGAAGTTGTTCAACACATAGGACATAATCTTGCTGAGGCCAACATATGAGTTGTACATATGAGCCATACATACGAGCCATACATACGAGCCATACATGCGAGCCAAACATACGAGCCATACATGCGAGCCAAACATACGAGCCATACATACGAGCCATACATACTCATCTACCGCCTAAGACTACAATGAATTACACTTAACGAGCCATATCCAGAGGCTTAGGGCCCGCGTAAGACCTCTACAAAAGAAAGGAAAAACATCAAAATTGCATTTTTTTTCTTCAATAAGCACCTGAATCATTTGTCGCTGTAGTCAACGGCTTCAAAAATGATCTCACCAGAGGGAACATGAGATGATGATGTCCCCTAACTCCCTTTGCCACTTCGGGGGGGGGGGGGGGGGGTTATAGGGTGTTTATGTAGCTTCAGGGCACCAATCCCCCCAGTCACAGGGCATGGCGAGAAGGCGCCTAAGACGTCTCCTTAAGACCACGCCAAACCACTTCGAGAAAAGGCCTCTTGGCTGTCCACTAGAATGACAACGGTCAATATATGGCGCGCTATGGTACAGCACTTTAGTTCAAAGTCAGTGTCTAAAATGACCCTTTATTGAGTGTGCTTTCCAGGATGCTTCCAGACCATCAGTCCTTGATCTATTGTTGTGGGCAATAGATAGCCTGTGTTGGTGGCAATAGATAGCCCGTGTTGTGGGCAATAGATAGCCCGTGTTGTGGGCAATAGATAGCCCGTGTTGTTGGCAATAGATAATCCGTGTGGTGGGCAATAGATAGCCCGTGTTGTGGGCAATAGATAGCCCGTGTTGTGGGCAATAGATAGCCCGTGTTGTCGGCAATAGATAGCCCGTGTTGTGGGCAATAGATAGCCCGTATTGTTGGCAATAGATAGCCCGTGTTGTTGGCAATAGATAACCCGTGTTGTCGGCAATAGATAACCCGTGTTGTCGGCAATAGATAACCCGTGTTGTCGGCAATAGATAACCCGTGTTGTCGGCAATAGATAACCCGTGTCCTTGAGGTAAGAGAAAACGGAAATGGATTCCAAACTCAATTTCAGCGGCAACTTGCCTATTGCCTCAGGCACCAGTTCCCAAGGGTCGTCTGACTTCATTAAATAGCTGCTTTTATTTCATTTGACAGGCCGCTTTGTAGGTTTAAGCTTTAAGGGAAAAAAGGGACGTTTACTATTTAATATAATGAGATACAACATTCACTATCATAAATAGATTGAGAATAACATTATATTATACAACACAAATGCTCACATACAACCATACAGCAGTAATATCTACACCATACAACATTAATGTATTAACGCTACACATACTTTAACTTATAAACTATTAGAAGAATGCAACCATTAACTTTTACACCATTAATTTTAACATTTACCAACGGCATTTATTAACATTTTAATGTGATGTGTGTTTGTGTTGATATGGGTGTTTGTTTATGTGACGAGTGTGTGTTTCTCCCGACAGGTGGCGTGGCGGTCGACGACAACAAACAGATGGCAGTAGGGGCACGGCCGTCAACACAGCCGCCACGGGGCCAGACTCCCTACACCATCACCATCAACGTGGTGCGTGGCAGCCAAGGTGAGAGAGAGAGAGAAATAATGAGTTTATTAAATAATTTGATAATGAGACATGAGTTTCATGAGTACAAAAATATGAACTCGAAATACTCATTATATTCTATATTCCTTTGAGCTTTTCCTTCTCGGTACTCATATTCCTGCACTCATTGGTGGTATTCATATTCCTGCACTCATTGGTGGTATTCATATTCCTGCACTCATTGGTAGTATTCATATTTCTGCACTCGTTGGTGGTACTCGTACTGCATTAAATGTTACTCCATGTACGTATTAAAAGTACTCTGAAGCAGTTTCAGTGTGTCCATATTATGGCAAAAGTAATTATTGCTACCCTCCCTTGTACTCAGTCCTTGTACAACCTTCAGTTATGCCAGTTATTACAACCCCTGAGTTATGAGAATCTGTGGCCAAAGTTTTCTAATTTATATGTTTCTTCTAAGAAATATTTTGCCTCATGCATGTAGTATACAATAAAACTTTTGTTTATTACTATATTTCAGTGCTCACTTTAAACTAGAACTGCCACTCACAACCTCCACCTACATCTTTCACTCACAACAAACACCTTCAACCCCCACCTAGAATTACAACCCAATGGCAGGATGAACAACCCAGCGGGTTTTCTTCCTATTAGGGAGTGTTGTACATGCTGCTATGGCGGTGTGTCCACTCACAGGATGAGTGGCGCTGCCCAATACTGTCACTATGGCGGTGTGTCCACTCACAGGATGAGTGACGCTGCCCAATACTGTCACTATGGCGGTGTGTCCACTCACAGGATGAGTGACGCTGCCCAATACTGTCACTATGGCGGTGTGTTCACTCACAGGATAAGTGACGCTGCCCAATACTGTCACTATGGCGGTGTGTTCACTCACAGGATGAGTGACGCTGCCCAATACTGTCACTATGGCGGTGTGTCCACTCACAAGATGAGTGGCGCTGCCCAATACTGTCACTATGGCGGTGTGTCCACTCACAGGATGAGTGGCGCTGCCCAATACTGTCACTATGGCGGTGTGTCCACTCACAGGATGAGTGGCGCTGCCCAATACTGTCACTATGGCGGTGTGTCCACTCACAGGATGAGTGACGCTGCCCAATACTGTCACTATGGCGGTGTGTCCACTCACAGGATGAGTGACGCTGCCCAATACTGTCACTATATCCACTCACGGGATGAGTGGCGCTGCCCAATACTATCACTATATCCACTCACAGGATGAGTGACGCTGCCCAATACTGTCACTATAGCGATGTATCCACTCACAGGATGAGTGGCGCTGCCCAATACTGTCACTATAGCGATGTATCCACTCACAGGACGAGTGACGCTGCCCAATACTGTCACTATGGCGGTGTGTCCACTCACGGGATGAGTGACGCTGCCCAATACTGTCACTATGGCGGTGTGTCCACTCACAGGATGAGTGGCGCTGCCCAATACTGTCACTATGGCGGTGTGTCCACTCACAGGATGAGTGGCGCTGCCCAATACTGTCACTATGGCGGTGTGTTCACTCACAGGATGAGTGGCGCTGCCCAATACTGTCACTATAGCGATGTGTCCACTCACAGGATGAGTGGCACTGCCCAATACTGTCACTATAGCAATGTGTCCACTCACAGGATGAGTGGCGCTGCCCAATACTGTCACTATGGCGGTGTGTCCACTCACAGGATGAGTGGCGCTGCTCAATACTGTCACTATAGCGATGTGTCCACTCACAGGATGAGTGGCACTGCCCAATACTGTCACTATAGCGATGTGTCCACTCACAGGATGAGTGACGCTGCCCAATACTGTCACTATAGCGATGTATCCACTCACGGGATGAGTGGCGCTGCCCAATACTGTCACTATAGCGATGTATCCACTCACAGGATGAGTGACGCTGCCCAATACTGTCACTATGGCGGTGTGTCCACTCACAGGATGAGTGGCGCTGCCCAATAAACTCACCCTTCGAGGCAAAATGACAAAAAAATAAAATTACCACCCTTACATAACACACACACGTATGATTGCATAATCATTCAAAACCCCCACAAAACCCCCCAGCATTTATAACCCGTATCATCCTCCTTTGTGCAGCGTTCGGGTTCAGCGTGGCGTGGACCAAGCCCCCGAGAGTAGAGCGTGTGGAGGAAGGGCTGCCAGCCCACCAAGCCGGGCTCAAGCCCGGGGACTATATCATCTTCATCGGCCAATATAACGTTGTCAAGTATGAGGAGGAAGCTGTCCTTAAGATCATCAGGTGAGATGTTGATCAGTCATTTTTATCGTTTGGAAGAGCGATTTTTTTTGTTTATAATGGGAGCTCGTATGAACCAGTTGGTGTTCCGCATGTTTAATTCTTATGTATATTTGAATAGTTAAAGGGTATATGTCCGCTGTGATTTAATACTAGTGAGAAATGAATTAGTTCAAATGTAGCAGCAGGTCGGTGGATTTTGTGAATGAGAATGGGCAGTTTCCTGGAGCGAGGCAGAGCGAGTATCAAAATAGGTAAATTTAACGAAACTGTGTCCTATTGACGAAGTTAGTTCACTGGAAAATTGGTTAGATATGTCTTAGATAAATGATATAGAAGTCATCCAATTGTCCAAGCACTTGGGATGGACGGTAGAATGACGGTCTCGCTTCATGCAGGTTCAGCGTTCAATCTCCGACCGTCCAAGTGATTGGGTACTATTCCTTTCCCCCGTCCCATTCCAAATCCTTATCCTGACCCCTTCCAAGTGCTATATAGTCGTAATGACTTGGCTGCTGTTGTTATAGATTCAGCTACTCGGAACACGTTCCAAGTAGCACGGGCCATGGTGAGCCCGTAGTGGACTTACCTGGCACAGGAGCGGTGCTAATGACTTGGCGCTTTCCCCTGAAAATCCCCTTCCCTTCACCAATAATATGATCAGAGAATACACGAAATATTTAATGATCCAATCTGTGTAGTAAGTTCTGAGTAGAGTTGATGGCAAGAGGTTAACCCGTTAAGCGCTGAATTTTAACCCAGTGGTTCCCTTTTGCAGAGAGTGCGGGGACACGCTGCCCCTGGAGGTGTACCGGAGAGGGGTGTCCAAGCACCCGCGGGGCCTCGTCAACGGCTACACCTCGCTACCAGCCCCTACCGACAATGAGGCCCACACGCGGAAGAGACTGAGCCACATCACCTTCAACACCGAGGTAGGCTGGGGCCTCGGCGTGTGACCTCCCCGCGATCACCTCCCTAGGCGCGGACCTCGCTTACCGCGCGAGGCTACACCCGCACTCCCAACGCTAATGTATATTATGCGCTCTGGCTGCTGGGCCGAGGTCTCTAAAATCTTGTCCAAGGATCTGGCTGCTGGGCCGAGGTCTCTAGAATCTTGTCCAAGGATCTGGCTGCTGGGCCGAGGTCTCTAGAATCTTACCCAAGGATCTGGCTGCTGGGCCGAGGTCTCTAGAATCTTGTCCAGGGATCTGGCTGCTGGGCCGAGGTCTCTAGAATCTTGTCCAAGGATCTGGCCGCTGGGCCGAGGTCTCTAGAATCTTACCCAAGGATCTGGCTGCTGGGCCGAGGTCTCTAGAATCTTGTCCAAGGATCTGGCCGCTGGGCCGAGGTCTCTAAAATCTTGTCCAGGGATCTGGCTGCTGGGCCGAGGTCTCTAGAATCTTACCCAAGGATCTGGCTGCTGGGCCGAGGTCTCTAGAATCTTACCCAAGGATCTGGCTGCAGGGCCGAGGTCTCTAGAATCGTACCCAATGTCACTCTACTAAGCTAAGCTGCTTTAGTTTTAGCAGTATTTCAGAGGCTGCTGAATGGCTGAGATCTTAGTGACATCATGACCAGGAGTTGTAATATCAGTTTTTAGGGCGAGTGATGGAAACCTGTCATTACGATAAATGAACTCGAGTACGAATGGCTATGTGAGTGACTGTTGATGTCTTGATACAACAATGGTTGTAAAAGTGCATCAGTCCACTTAACAACTCGAGAAGCTTGCAATCACAAGCTTAGGTCCTCTCTTCATTTTCCGAGTGACTTGACAATAGTGAAAGAATTTCCCTAATGAAACAATTACTTTATATATATATATATATATATATATATATATATATATATATATATATATATATATATATATATATATATATATATATATATATATATATATATATATATATATATATATATATATATGTGTGTGTGTGTGGTAAGTCACATAAACCTACAGGACTTTTAGTAAAGATATTTGTATCGATACTCTGCTGGCAATGCTGTGCCTGTCCGTTGCAACTGTCCGAAAAGTCATCACCATATAGTGGCATACTGGATAATAAGCTTGCAATATTGCATAAATTGAATACTAAAGTCACAATGAGTAGATATTGTGTGCAATTTAAGTACCTTAATTTTAGAGAGCATCTTGTCAAACACACGAGGGGTGGTAATCGCTCGGTTATCTATCCCTCATACTTACCTTGTCTATCTCTGTCTCTCTGTCTTGCCGTTCATCATTACATTTATATTTTGTTGTGATATAGCAGATATATTTTTATTTTTGTATAGTAAAAGATGTTTGATATCTTAACGAGCCATTATAGTACCAGCACAATACCTGTACAATACCAGTAATGTATCGTTTCAATACCTATATAGTACAGGACCTATTCGAGTACAGTACCTTGTGCAAGGCTACTGAAGCACCTCCATAAGTGTAGTACTAATGCATTACAAGCGTAGTACCAGCACAGTATAGTAGTACCACTGTAATGGTCTTGTGATACATCGTAACCCACTTACCAACAAGGGGCCAGATTTACGAAGCAGTTACGCAAGTACTTACGAACGAGTACATCTTTCCTCAACATTTGACGGCTTTGGTTACATTTATTAAACAGTTTACAAGCCTGAAAACTTGCTAATCAACTGTTGTTAAAAACAGCCTCCTGGTGCTTCGGAGTTAATTAACTGTTTAATAATTGTAAACAAAGCCGCCTAAGATTGAGAAAAGGTGTATAGGTTCGTAAGTGCTTGCGTAACAGCTTCGTCAATCTGGCCCAAGGACTCCTATACAAGTTACCAGTGACTCACCTCCTTCATGCTTCCTAGTGTTAGAAATACATTATACAGTTATGTATTTATCTTTGTATATTATGTACATGATCCAGATATATTTTTTACACTTTTAGTAACACATGTAATTTACTTTAGTGTATATTTTTTTGTATATTTTGTAAATATAGACATGAAGACAGTTTCTTTGTTTGCTTAATCCTTAGTTACTTTGTTTTAAGGCTAATTTTTCCATTTGTTGGGTCGAATATTTTCTGCCTGGATTATTTCAATTCATTTCCATACTTTATTAATATGCACAAGTGTGTGATTAAGGTGACAACTCTTGATGAAGAGAGGCACAGAGTATACAGATATCACCATTACTATACAAAGAGGCTATACAGTCTTATATACGATAAGGCGTACGAGCACCTCCGTATCGTAGCTCTATATCACTGGGTATAATCTAGCTGGAATGACTATAGCAATTGCAGAAAATAATGCTAAACATAGAAGTTAAGAAAGCCCAATCAGACTATGGCTCATTGGCGTTGTGTGTATGTAAAGTGGCAGTTGATATATTGCAAACAATTACAGTACTCCCATGAGGCTTCTAGGTGCAGAATTACGTTTCCACAACAAAATCCAAGTCAGACAAGTATATTATACTGCAAGAAGCAACCAATCGGCCAGAACAGTGGAAAAATTGTAACTAGTGAAGAAAATAACACAAATTAACAAAGTTTGAACAAGATAAAAAGAAAATTCGTTAACCGGACGCTACAGAAAACGGGTCAGCTTCACAAGCGTCAGTAAAACTTGTATTTTATACGATAAGTAACTGTACCCTGGTTTAACACTATAGCAAAACTATATATACACACAAAACACGGGGCAACAGTATAGTTATATAATAGGGGAATCCAAGATAGCAGTAGGATTCTAAATAACAGGAATCTCAAAATATGGAAACCCTCAACCTATTCTAGAATTCTCCAACCAGACAGCAAACCTAGACGAAGCGATAGGATATGGACACAAATAGGTGTATCCTGCTTCTGTGTCCACCAAGAATTTACTATAACCCTGATCTATCCTCAGGATTTATGCATACTTGCTGGTTGGTTAGCAAGTAATTGTGAAGGGCGGTAATAAGCCTAAAACCCAGCAAATACCAATTTGCCGTAGACCTCCCCGGAAGATCAAGCCTATCCCACGAGAAGACGCAACACTTCAGGAATTATGTCAGTATGAAGAAAGTGTCTCAAAGTCTTCAGAGACACGGATCTCAGCGCGGAACGTGCCGCGTGTTCCAAGAAGGCTTACATGTTCTATAGCTACAATATTTTCAACACTCCATTAAGAAGTAACATGTTCTTGAATTTCTTATAATGACAGTCCGATGTGGAGCAATCTATTCAAATTGATGAGAGACATTCCTCATTTACATAATTGCTCTTTAGAAGCCAGGTTAAATTAACATGTATTTATGCAGATAAGGGTAAAATAATTCTAGCACAGAATCAAAATGGTGTAAGTAGTACTTCACTACTACTTACAAGGCAGAAAACACGCTTTAAAGATGTATCGATTCGTCTTGAATAGTACATCTCCTTATGGTCAAAAACTGCTGTATTATAAATCATAGCGACTCGCAAATTTGACGTGATGTACCGTTTTCTATCAGTGGGTCTTCAGTTAGGTTCGGACAATTTAGTACATCCGTTTAGTGACGTTAGGAACACTCGAAAGGTTGGGCTGAATATTAATGCAGAGAAGCAAAGTGGGAATATGCAGGACAAACTAAAATAAATTGCGGGTTAGGAAACAAAGTCAAAGACCAAGAAGTAAATATTAGCACAGAGGAACACTGACAAACAAAAAAAACTTTTGTTGTTTTTGTTGTTACGCCCTGAAATGCAAATTTACAGCAGGGAAAGCTAAGAATAAAGGTCTATTAACCCACGGCTTCTGCCGGAAAGCGCCAACACCACCCGCCATTTAGAGGCACTAACGCTCCGGCTAACGACACTAAGTGTGGTAATGGTCATTGAAAGATCCAAATAATCCAACTACACCAGCTCTGAAATCTCTGGAATTGTAGCAATTTGTGTTTCAAACGTGCAACTAAAGGATGCTGTTCTGTTTTGTTGGTATATATAACGAAGCAAGAAATGCTGCCGTTTCAGCGTAGTGTAAACTATATCTGGGATATTTCCCCACTGGGATTATCCCGTCCCAACCGCATGAGGTAAATGTTTGCTATAAGGGATAAAGCCGCCTCTCAGGCGGACTTAATGATAGTCCAACTGTGTAAAGTCTTTTCTAATTCATTTATCGTGGTTTGGTTTAATGCCTATCAACCTCTAAAGGGTTATTAAGCCTTTCACCAAATATACTTGCGGGGTAACTAACAACTCCACCCCCCCCCCCCCATCAAGGTCAAATTACTGACCCCGCCCAGGATGCAACCCCTCAACAAGCTGATTTGTTAGTACCTACTAACTCCTAAGTACCTACTTACTGCTAGGTGAACAGGTGCATTAGGAAATGCGCCCAACCATTTCTGTCCCGCCCAGGACTCTTAAACCGGAATTCTCCATTTTGAGTCGAGAACGAAGCCGCCTGTACTACCGAGACCCTCCCATGATTATTATTATATATCCCATGATTACAGAGGCATTTTAGCAACGATGAATAACTGTCAGATTAGGTAGACTCCACTTGCCAATGATGGACTGGACGGTAGAGCGACGGTCTCGCTTCATGCAGGTCGGCGTTCAATTCCCGACCGTCCAAGTCCCATTCCTTACCCGCCGTCCCATCCCACATCCTTATATCCTGACCCCTTCCCAGTGCTATATAGCCGTAATGGCTCGGCGCTTTCTCGTGATAGTTCACCTGCCCTCCGATGCAAAAAAAAAAACAGCCTACGATAGACATCAAGAAGTTTGCAAACCTAGGCCTAAGGAAATAAATTTATATTTAAGTTCAGCAATCTGTCCTCTGAAGTTGAGACCTCCTACAGCGACTGTGGAGGCAACGTACAAAATACAGACTATTTTATCCCAAAGAATCAGTTTTCGCACTATTGATTTTGTGAAGGTTCTGAGGAAGAATTCAACAAAAGTTAACTTTTCCTAGG